TAACCAGTGGAACAACCTGCCTCCAGAAGCGGTGAATGCTCCAACTCTGGAAGTTTTTAAGAAGAGACTGGACAGCCGTTTGTCTGAAATGGTGTAGGGTTTCCTGCCTGGGCAGAGGGTTGGACTTGATGACCTTCAAGGTCCCTTCCAACTTTATCATCATCATTATTATTATTATAGCAATTCAGGGCTACCCTATTCCTAAAGGCTTTGTTTAGGTAGGGCAAGATAAGACTCTCTTTGCAGAAGCTTCTTTCTCTTTCTCTTTTCCTTTCCTTTGAAGAACGGCTGCAGGACTTGGGTTTGGCTAGCTGGTCTAAAGAAAAGAAGAAATAGGGGAGAAATGATAGCAGTGTTCCAGTATCTGAGGGGCTGCCACAAAGAAGAGGGGGTCACGTTATTCTCCAAAGCACCAGAGGGCAGGACGAGAAACAATGGTGGGAAACTGATCAAAGAGAGAAGCAACTTTCCTAACAGTGAGGACAATTAACCAGTGGAACAGCTTGCCACCAGAAGTTGTGGGTGCTTCATCACTGGAGGTTTTTTAAGAAGAGACTGGACAGTCACTTGTCTGAGATGGGATAGGTTCTCCTGCTTGAGCAAGGGGTTGGACTAGAAGGCCTCCAAGGTCCCTTCCAGATTCTATCCTATCCTATCCTATCCGATTCGATTACATCCCATCCATCCCATATTCTATTCTATTCTATTCTATTCTATTCTATTCTATTCTATTCTATTCTATTCTATTCTATTCTATTCATCCTATTCCTATTCTATTCTATTCTAATTCTATTCTTATTCTATTCTTCTATTCTATTTTTATACTTTACTCTATTCTATTCCTATTTTAATTCTATTCCTAATTTAATTCTATCCTATCCTATTCCTAATTTAATTCTATTCCTAATTTAATTATATTCCTATTTTAATTCTATTCTATCCTATCCTATTCTTCCCTCCTCCTCTCCCCTCCTCTCCTCCCCTTCTTTCCTCTTCTCTTCTCTTCTCCTCTCCCCTCCCCTCCCATCCTCCCCTTCTCTTCTCTTCTCTTCTCTTCTCTTCTCTTCTCTTCTCTTCTCTTCTCTTCTCTTCTCTTCTCTTCTCTTCTCCTCTCCTCTCCTCTCCTCTCTTCCCTTCCCTTCCCTTCCCTTCCCTTCTCTTCTCTTCCCTTCTCTTTTCTTTTCTCTTTTCATACTTGCATTTCAACCAGGCAGTACAACAATATCAACAGCTCCTCTCAAAAGTCTTTCAAAAACTGGGCAAGCATTGATAGCAAGCTTAGCTTCTGAAGCCAGCAGTCTAGTTATTCAAAGCCAATTGGATGCAGCGAAGAAAAAGTGTGTATGTCTCTCTCTGTGTGTGTGTTTGTGTGTGTGTGTGTTTATGTAGAGGAGCTTTTTTTTCCTTCCCCCCCCCCCCAAAGGTAGCACTTTAAAGAGCTCATGGAATTGCAGAACCAATTTTAACGGTGGGAAACCAGATTTTACTCGGCAAACCTCCTCTGCCAAACTATTCCAAGCACAGCTGGTTGTTTTTTTTTCCCTCTACCAACCCTACCCCCCCCCTCTCTCTCATACACACACACACACAAAACAACAACAGGCTTTAGCACAGCAGTGGCTTTTTTTAAAACAGGATTTGGAGAAGGCAGAAGAGCGGAGCAAAATTTGCAAGTTATCAGATAGGAAGTTATGAGGCGCCCTCCTCTGGCTACTTTGAAACATTGGAGACTAATCAACTTCCTTTTACAACTTGGTCTATCCTGGTTTATCACGCTTCCCCCCCCCCCCCGTTTTTTTGTTTTTTCAAAAAACAAAAAAAAGGCTAGCTTGCAGAGAGTGGTTTGCTTGGACATCAGGAGGAATACAGCAGCCTAGAGGTTGAAGTCGGTACGTAGATCCAAAAGGGAGAAAGAGAGAGACATTTGAAATGTCTTGAAAATCCTAACACGGCCCTGATCCTTTGGGTTGATCTACTTAGATGTATCTGAGGGGTCCTTGGTGGTCTCTGAGCTTGCTTGTTTTCTTGCAGACGTTTCATTACCTTAACTAGGTAACATCATCAGTGCTAGAAGGGATTGAATTTAGGGATGGAAGGAAGGAAGGAAGGAAGGAAGGAAGGAAGGAAGGAAGGAAGGACGGACGGACGGACGGACGGACGGACTATGGGGTCCTTGGTGCTCTCTGGGCTTGCTTGTTTTCTTGCAGATGTTTTATTACCCAAACTAGGTAACATCATCAGTGCTAGAAGGGATTGAATTTAGGGATGGATGGATGGATGGATGGATGGAAGGAAGGAAGGAAGGAAGGAAGGAAGGAAGGAAGGAAGGAAGGAAGGAAGGAAGGAAGGAAGGAAGGAAGGAAGGATGGACTATGGGGTCCTTGGTGCTCTCTGGGCTTGCTTGTTTTCTTGCAGACGTTTCATTACCTTAACTAGATAACATCATCAGTGCTAGAAGGGATTGAATTTAGGGAGGGAGGGAGGGAGGAAGGAAGGACTATAGGTTCCTGGGTGTTCTCTGAGCTTGTTTGTTTAATCATCATCATCATCATCATCATCATCATCATCATCATGTAGGAAGGGACCTTGGAGGTCATCTAGTCCAACCCTCTGCTCAGGCAGGAAACCCTATACCATTTCAGACAAATGGCTGTCCAGTCTCATGGGGATCATGGGGATGCTGCAAAGGTCATAACTGAAAAATGGTCAGAGGTCACATCTTTCAGTGACGGCGTAACTTTGAACGGTCTCTAAAAGAACTTACCTGTAATTGTCGGTGATCCCCATCAGCATTTTTAAATATGATCTTAATCACCCCCTTAGGAGCTGCGTTATGCCTTGGGAGAAGAACGTAAGATTTTATTTTATTTTATTTTTACCCTCGTGGACCCCCTTCGAACAAACTGACTTTTAACCAAGCCATGGAAACATTTTAATTACAGCCGTGGACACGTAGAAATAAATATTACATTCATTCAGTTTACAGTGAATACTAGGCCAGTCTTGTCAAAAGCAAAAAAATAATAATAAAAAAAGTCGGTCTGCGTTACGAGGTGTCAAGATCCATCGAGGCCATCCCAAAGAAAGAAGAGAAGTAAAACAGACGGGTGTTTGGGGTGAGAGTGAAGCCAAAACCCAAACAGGGCACAAATAAAACGCAATGAGGCATTTAAGTATCCCTAATGATGATTGACAGAGCAAGTTTCCCCTTCCGAAGCCGACTGGAAAGCTTTCAGATGCTTCATTCACACAACGAGTTTAACCTGGCGACTGACTGAACCAATTTCTCTGCGTTTGTACGACGCAGCCAGCTGTAAATTCACCCCATGGGCTGAGTGACTCTGCTGAACTACGCACGGAGACAGCTAATCAAGGTTTAGCTGAACCAATGGAATGGCTGTCACGCAGATTTGACCAGATCTGGTTCGTTGGGTTGTACAAACCCAGCCAACCAGTCCATTGAACTAAGACTGACTTCTGTTTCCGGTGAAGGAGGACCAGAACGAAAAGCTGGAATATCAGGGTTTCTGCTCCCCTTAGAATGAACTAATTTCAAGCTTATTGCTCTCCAAGGCAAGAGAAGAACTTCCCGTTTCCAGATCAGCTCTGTCCTCTCAAACAGAACATTGGTTCGCTTTCAAGGTAGTGGGAAAAAGAAAACCTTCAGAGATAGGCATGGATGTTGGTTAGACCAGAGGTCCTCAACTTTTGGGGCACCAGGGACTGGTTCTGTGGAAAGAGGTTTTTCCCGCGGATGAAGGGTGTGTGGTTTTGTGTGCTGCCTGCATCCCACAGATGGGGCTTTACTTGTTTGTGCGGACCGGTTGCTGGCGTGCTGCAGCCCGGTACCGGTCCACGGATCAGGAGTTGGGGGACCCTTCGGTTAGACAACGCTCAACATCAAGTGGTGCTGATTCGCTACAAGGCTGAACCAATCAGGGTTGGCTGTTCTATCTACCCATTGGTGGTTAGGCTGAAGATAGCAACGTTGTGGTGCCCTACCCCTTTTCTATGTGCATTGTGACATCACGCACAGGACCCAAGGGGGGACGAATGCATTGTCATTGGTTAAAATCAGCCAAAGCTCATGGCTGCATCTAGAATTCCCATGCCAAAGCTTTCTTCTCCAAGTGGGAAGACCCTTTCAGTGGCTTATGTTAGGTTTGGACCAAAGCTCTTGGAATACCTGTAAAATAAGTCTCATCTGCCCCAAATGACTTGCAGAAAGAGTATGTTGGGGAAAGGCAGAGAAATGAGAAGGAGAACCGAATTTCCACATGGGAACCTTCACAAAAAATGCAGCTAACTCCAAAAGTGACCCCAGTTTCCTTCTGCTGTACAAGATGTCATCCCCAATTCTCTCTAACTCAAGGGACGGTAAGTCAAGCATGAAGACTCCCTCAAGCTCTCCTTAGATCTCAAGACCATTTCAAATCTTTACAAGAGATCTTAAGAGAGGGTGGCTTTTTATCTCCACTATCCACTTTGATTTGTCTCTCTCTAAAAAAAAAAAAGAATACTTTTGGTTACTTGATAACCTCCGAAAACCCAACCTTCTGATTCCTGATGACATCCTGCCCCACCTAGGCACCAACTATTCCTTGGGAGCTTCCACTTGACCTTGGAAACATCTGATCTGAAGAGGATGGGATGGAAGAAATCATCTAGCGTTTATTATTTGGCAAATAATAAACATGGAATGAACTTTTATGAAAACATCCGTGTAAATATTGTTGGCAACAATATGGAAATAACTTGCCGTTGTCTCTTTCTGGTTGGGTTTTTACTTCCCAGTAGAGTCTACAGGCCGAGAACATCTTGATGATGTTCTATCCAAGGACTAACCAGGTCCAACTCTGATTTGTTTTCTGCAATCCATCCAGCTTGATTAGACACTGCCATCTAGCTGGTTTTTTTGTTTTTTTTTATCAAAGAACGTATCTGCCAGGTTATCAAAATTGATCCTATACACCCTCTACTCAATTCCCACTCCAGTTCATGCATATATTTGTGTATTCACATACTCCAATGCATCTGAAGGCATCAAGGTGTGGCTGTTAACTCTGAAAACCCAGAAGTGACGCTGCTACACTTTCTCTTTGAGCTTTTCCAGGTAGTTCCTGATCTGTTTTGATTCTCCCAGGTCCATATCTTGGCAAACCCACTTAATGTCATCTTCGCTGCAGTTGAGGATGGAGTTGACGGTGGGAGAGCCGTCATCGGGAGGAATGGTGGTGAACGTGGTAAATTTCACCCGCTTCCTCTTGGAGGCGGGCGAATGCAATGGGTGCTCCTGCTTCAGGTCCCTGATTTGCTTGTCCCCCCATTGAACTTTTGGACTGCTTTGACTCGGGAGTTTTTTGGGCGTGCCAACGAGGAGTTGATGGCCCGCATCAAAGCCTATCCCTTGGTCTATGTTCGTGATGCACTCATCGGCTGGAGGCGAGAGGTCTGCTGGGTTATCCAGCAGCTCCATTTCATTCCCAAGCCACACCCAGTCGTGAGAATGGGTCATGGAGGTCTGCCCTTCCATGGGAAGCTGCTTGTGACGGTACTTCAATGTGAAGGTGGCACAGTTGATCAGGAAGACCAGAATGGCGAGGCAGAAGACTCCTAACAGGGCATACATCCCAGTCTCCAGGTCACTGAGACCTCTCGGTGTCTGAACCAGGTCACTGTCCTCCATGCCACTGTTGCCTTGGGGAAGGTCGATCTGAGCCGGGAAGTTGGTAAAGTCAATCGGGATGTTCTGGAGTAGACCATCATCGGAAAGTTTATCTCCTTCAGGGATACTTTTGAAGACTTTGCTTTTGATTGTCGACTTGGCTGTCCCACCGGTCTTCCTCCTGAGGCCTTCTTCTCGTTCAGCAGAAGAACTCCTATAATATTGTCCTTCCTGGCTATGGTGCTCTTGGTCAAACTCCTTCTGCCTCCGGTCACTGGCGTGGTTTTCAATTTCCTCAGCACTGTAATCCCCAAGGCTGTGAGAGTTGGCGTCGTTCTGGCCAAACTTGACTTTGATGCTTCCGTTGCCAACTGCTAGGATACTCTTCCTTTTGGATTTCTGGCAAGACTCAGAGATCATCATTTCTACTCTGACCAGTAGGCCTTCGCCTTCTCCTTCTGCTACCACCACTGGCCACTGGGCAGCAGAGCTCTGGTGGGCCGAAACAACCGATTCATCAAGGGAGGAGGCCGAGAGAGAGAAATCGCTGGGATCGTAGATGTCCAGTGGGGTCACAGCACCATCGCTGAATTGGATCCAGGAGCTCACCATGGCCTCCTAGCAGAAAATAAAAGGAAATAGTTCAACAAGGTAAGTAGAACATCTCATTAGTTTTCATGGATTAGAACAGTGGTGGCGAACCTATGGCACGCGTGCCAGAGGCGGCACTCAGAGCCCTCTCTGTGGGCACGCACGCTGTTGCCCCAGCAGAGTTCGCCAGAGTAGCGAGCACATGGCATTTGGAATCAACAGGGCGAGCAAGTGGTGTTGGCCCCCTGGGGATGCCCTAGAGATGGCGAGGGACTGGCCCCGGCCACGCTCACCCAGTCTGCCATGACCACGGCAGCCACATCCACCCAGTGGGCCATGTTCCCCCACCCCCCTGAGGGCACCACAATGCTGATGCAGCCCTGGCACTTTGCGATAAATAAGTGGGTTTTGGGTTGCAGTTTGGGCACTCGGTCTCTAAAAGGTTCGCCATCACTGTTCTAGTCCAACCCCCTGCTCAAGGGTAAATATCTCAGGCATGACAATGCTGTGGAAGTTCAGCAGAGTGAGGGCATGTGGGAAAGAAAGGGACTGAAGGGGTTTGGGGTCTAGAGTAGTCAACCTTGGCAACTTGAAAATGGTGGACTTCAGCTCCCAAAATTCCTCAGCTGGTATAGCTGAGGAATTCAATCAAAATAGAGCTGGAAGGGACCTTGGAGGTCTTCTAGTCCAACCCCCTGCTCAAGCAGGAGACCCTTTACCATCTCAGACAAGTGGCTGCCCAGTCTCTTCTTAAAAACCTCCAGTGATGAAGCACCCATAACTTCTGAAGGCAAGCTGTTCCACTGCTTAATTGTCCTCACTATTAGGAAATTTCTCCTTAATTCCAGGTTTTGGGATTATTACTATTGATTATTAATAAATTGGACCATAAGAAAGGCCGAGCGCCAAAGAATGGAGGCCTTTGAACTCTGGTGCTGGAGAAGACTCCTGCGAGTCCCCTGGACTGCAAGGCGATCCAACCGGTCAGTCCTGGAGGAGATCAACCCCGACTGCTCTTTAGAAGGCCAGATCCTGAAGTTGAAACTCAAGTACTTTGGCCACCTCATGAGAAGGAAGGACTCCCTGGAGAAGAGCCTGATGCTGGGAAAGATGGAGGGCAAGAGAAGAAGGGGACGACAGAGAATGAGGTGGCTGGATGGAGTCACTGAAGCAGGAGGCGTGAGCTTCAATGGACTCCAGAAGATGGTAGAGGACAGGAAGGCCTGGAGGAACGTTGTCCATGGGGTCGCGATGGGTCGGACACGACTTCGCACTAACAACAACAAATTAATAAATAATTATTACAGCTGAGTCCCAATGACTACTGCGACTTAACTGCTCCTTAACCTCATCACTAAACAGACACTTGGCAAGTCAAGGACTTTCCTGGGTATGTTTTCCAAGTTGCTATCTGCCACTCTTATTTTCTCAAGCCGTTATTCTGTACGCGCTTTGAGGTTCATGGATCTGGTGGAAGGCCAGCAACTTTTCAAGGAGACTGCAGTCTCCTGACACAAATCAGCTTTAATGGGAAGGAGAGAGAAGAGTGGCTTTTATAGGGCTGGAATGCTTAATCAATAGGTCTGATCGATAAATCTGATACTTTTAAGCAATGCAGACGGGAGCTGTTTAGTTTAATGGTCCTCAAAGATTATTATACTTTCCAGGTAGGAAACAGCCAGGAAAAAAAAAAAGGGGGGGGGGAGAAATCTCTTCTAAGAGGATCTGTCCCTGGACACAAGCATCATTTAAACATGAGAGTGGTCTTTCCTTCTTCAGAAGAAGAATTGGTACAAATGTATACCCATTTAGTTTAAAAGGTTTTACCACTGCCTTGGGAAGGACATGCCCGGATCTCAGTGGCGTATTTGTGAAGAAATAAGCTTTTAGATGGAGCCATAAGATAACAAGACTTGATGACTTTACCAATCTGAGGAGCAATTTCATTTCTCCATCCCCAGTTTTCACTGTATCTCTTGGACAATAAGGAAACGTGGGTTAAAGATGAAGTAGTATGCCAAGTGTCAACGCTGCTAACATCGGACGTTCTTGCTTTGACAACAGATGGGAATGGAACCATCTTTTGGAGTTAGTTCGCTTTTGGAGTTATTGATGCTGGGAGGGGGGATGTGGATGAGAGTCCAGTTAGTCATAACAATAATAACTCGGCCCTGGGAATCCAAGGTCATTGCGCCCAAAGTTGATAAAGATTTGACGGGCTGGAGAGGTAGGGAAAAAGCCTGTGCTTCAAGCTAATTGGGGAATGTGATTTATGACTGTTAATTGAAGGAGGGAATTGTGCTTTGCTACTTTGTGCCCAGGAGAGGGGAATTCAGTTTTTGGCTTTAACTATGTAGTGCCCATACTTTGTTTCTCGAATAAAAGATTCTTTAAGGTAAACAATGCCTCGAAGTTCTTTGGAAGAGTTTCATCTGACGGAACCATGACACCAAGATTCTGGAGACACAGGCCTCAGTGTGTACGATTCAGGAAAATTCCAATACTCTACCTGTTTGTGAGTGTGGAGCAATTCTTGAGCTATAGTGGTAGCCATGAAAGCTTGACGACTAGCTGTGCTGGGCTGAAGAACAAGTGATAACCCAGCTACTAGTTGGACTCCAATATCGGTGATGGTCACTTTGTCGTCCAACACCGTCACAGTCTTCTCGGCCAAGATGGAGTCAGATAGTGGAGAAAGGACCTTTGGAAGTCAACAGAGAGATGCTCTTAGGAATATATCGAAGTTACGCTGTCATTTTTTTCCTCAAATACCTTTAGAGAATGGAAGATCAAGGCAGGAATGTTCTCCTACCAAGATGATAGACTGACCTGGACCATTGTCATGCCAACTTCCTGCCCAACCAGAACCTTGCCTCCTTGTAACTGGGCCACATGAGGTTTCTCAAGCTTCATAAAGTCCGTCACCAAATCTGTTATGTCAACCTGCCAGTCGGAGCCCAGCAAATAGGACAGTTGCCCTGATGGGCTGGCATCTTCAGCCACAAACTGGGTGAGGACCCGCACCATGGCGTGCTGGTACTGGAGGGTGCAACCTCTTCCCTTCCGCTCATCTCCATCTTCATCATCACTCTCCCGTGTCAATCTGAAAAATTAGCATTTTTAAATTGACTTCACGCCCAATGAGCTGAATAGGCACATCACACTTCAAAGATGCCATGGCTTCTTCCACAAAGAAGAGGCTCTTATAGGGAGGCTCACTATGGTCAACTGCTCTTTGGATAAGACAATTCATCGTTGGTTCATGGACCAAACTCCTCCAACAAAGGCTTCTTCTAGGGAAGAATTTGTAAAAGCTTGAACCAATTAAATTTGTTTGTTGACTTCTGAAATAGAATTGCCCTCCCCCAATAATTATATAAACTACATTAAGAAGAGATAGAAATATAGAGATAGAGATGTTAGAGGGACAGCTAGAGAGATATATGATATAGACAT